ATGGGGGATTCGTCTCAATGCATTGCATCCTCTACAGCCCACAGAAAAATTTCACGCATTTTGGAAGAGCGTGATGAGACTGTGCACCTTCAGGCATCTTGCAAGGGATCCTCCCTTGGCAGGGGGACAATTTCCCCATCTGCAAGACTTTGGCACTCACCATTCAGCCCACACTAGTTGCCATGGGCTTGCTTTGATGCCTCTTGGAGCAGAGACTGGTCCTCAGTTTGAGGCTCTCTCAGCCTGGAAGGACCCCAGAAGCGCTTGACTAGCACGTGGGTCCTTCCTGCTGCCTTGAGCAGGGAGCAGGAGCAAACTGATGGTAGGAAAGGTGGGTTTGCTGCCTGAAGCAGGTCAGGTCTGTGGGTAATTCCTGGAAGCAAGTCTGCTCAGCACTCACCTTGCATGCCAGGAAGGATTTGAGGCATGTTCTGATAAACAGATGCTAAGGATGAAGAAGGAGCACAAATTTCCAAATCTGTTTTCTTGGCTGGTTGGCACAGAGGCAGGAGCACGGTTTGGACTGCTGCCTGACACTACTCCATATATACACCAGCTCCCTCCCTCCAACCCACCCTGGGCATCCTTGCCAAGTGACAGGCTGTGGCCCACCAAAGCCTCTTCGGGTTATTGGTGGAGACATCCCAGAAGAGCCCCTGCTAGCATTGCACTGAAGTCCTGTAGGACTAAGTTTCCTGGAGTACACTATAGAGGTAGAGAAGAGAGAGAGAGGGAGGGAGAGAGGGAGAGGGAGAGAAAAATCATTATTGAAATAAAATCAGCACTCGGTGCTTTATAAAGGCAGCCAGCGTGATAAAAATCAGCAATCAGAATAAATAATGCATGGTCCTATCCAGTCTGAGAAAGGCTGTCCTTATTATAATGAATCAAGCAAGCATTTGCCCCAGAAATGGCAAAACGTAATATTTTGAAGCTTTATGTTAAGAGAAACCCAAAGTGAAAGAATGACCAGCACACACCTTTGGGGTCTGCAGGTGAGGCGTCCCCACTGCTGGGTCTTGCTGGTCCTGCTGGAACTGAGGTCTGAGAGATGTGAGGTTCCACCTCTTTGAGGCCCAAAACCACTTGGCTGGTTGGTGATGGCAACACAGGGGCAGACCTGCCCGGCCGGGGAGTTGGATTTCTCTCTCCTGAAGGGATGAGGCCCAGGGTTCCATGGTTGTACAGGGAGCTCTTATCCTGCAGAGAGGTGGGCCGGTTGGCTCTGCGTTCTTGTGGCTGCTTCTGTGGCAGCTGAAGGCAGGGCAAATATCGGAGGTGGGGACGCTCCATGGGACCGGTCGCAGGATTTCTGTCGGGAGGTGGGAGTGGTGCATAAAAATTCTGGGGGGGATCCTCACTCTTCCACGCAGACTCAGGAGGTTCACGGACTGCTGAAAGGGGAAGCCCTGGTTCTTCTCCTAGAATATTGGGTGTGTATGAAGCTCCTGGAGGGAGGTAGCTTTGGCTGCTCGCATTGCCTGGGGTTTGCTGAGCAGGGAGATTTAAAATAGGAGGCTGCCCAGAAAGTTTGTTCAGACCTGGTGACTCTGTTCCGGAGCCATCTTCAGGCTCTCCTCCTGTTGTAGAGGCATCTGTCGTCGGACAGCTTGGAGGAGGAAGATCTTGATCTTCTGCTGCCCAGGAGTTACGATTCTGATCTGTAACATACGGACAGAAAGAGGGCCAAGGCCATTAGCCATTTACCTGTTGATCAGAAAGATTAACACACACAGACGGTTTTGAGCATGTGCATTCAGAATCTCTGTATACCGTATAAGAATCCTGTACCCAAAACCGGGATTGTTGTTTGGAAGCTGGGAGAGAGTGGTAGAGATTCAGAGCAGATACTTACTCCACCATTCAAGGCTCCTGCTGGAATGTTCCTATTCTGAAGGGTGAACCTCCAGGACACCACCATTGATTGATTGATTGATTGACCACTATTACCACCAGCACTCCCCATCCTTCCTCAACTTCTCTCTGAACCCAGTAGGGGCACTTTGCTTCTTCCCCAAATGTGGTCCTAGCAGATTCTTCACCCTGAGGACCTCTGCAAGATTTTGGAAGCTCCAACAGCTGGTTCTCATCTTCTATCGGGAAGTCTTTCTGCTATTGTATTCCTCCCCAGTAAGAGCTACAAATACAAGTGTAAAGAGCAGTAAAGAGGCGACAGTCATGTATCAGGGCTGGTCTAGTGAATCCTGGGGTTGGACCTGATGACCTTCCAACCATGATTCTATGAATTTCCCACCCATTTCCCTCTTTGTGAACTTCCTTTCTGCTTTTCTTATCCTTGAAGATGTTCTATATTTGGTTAAATTGCTGATTCACATGGATTCTTTAAGAGCTTCAACATATGTGTTCCTTTATATAATACATAGCACCACACATGATTGGACTGCACTTTTTAAAAAATAAATGAATTTGTAAAGAATGGTTGCTCTTTTGTTGGGCGGGGCGGAGGGGGGGTGCTCACACAGCAGCAGAGTCAGAGTTAGGTATTTTCTGGATGTTTGACATGCTGACCCAAAAGTTTCGCCATCACTGTTTTAG